GCGGCGGCGGCGCGCGGAGCGTGGGGCCGGCGGTGCCGTGTGGCGCTCGGGGTGAGGCGGCCGCCCCCGGCCCACAGCGGCTCCCGCGGCTCGGGGGGCGCAGGGTGGTAGCGGTTCACCCGGGACTGCGGGGGGGATCGGTACCGGGCGGGGAGCAGCCCATGGGRGGTCGGGGGCAGGTGCTGCCTCACCCGTCCTGAGGTGGTCTGTGCTTCCCCCCGTGCAGCTGCCGCGGAGAGCCGGTGCCCCCTGGATCACCTCAGTCGCCGCGTCCTTCTCTTCCTCGGTGGTGAGTGCCCGTCCCGCGGAGCGGAGCCGGTGGGCGGGGGAGGGAKGTGCGGGAGAGCCCCGGGCGCCGCCGCCGCTGCCCGGACACTTCCCTCGGTCTGCTCTGCCTAGGCCGTTCCTGCCGCCTCGGCTGGGATCCTAGTTCGTCCGGTGGAACAAATATCGGCACTGCTCTCRTGCTTGACGGGTGGGACGGAAAAAAGTTCCATGTCCGATTTGTCAGAATTCGGAGCTRAGCGGTGGCCGCTCGGGCAGCTCCCGCTGCGGTCGCGGTGCGGTCGCTCAGGGAGCCACCTCGCGTTACTCCTGGTGGCTCCGGACTGGCCTCATGGCATCTGCGGCAGAAAGAGGATCTGGTTTCCATCGGACAGCTTYGAACAGCTTTAGTTGTTGTACTGCCTTTTTTCCTCCTCTGTCCATGGCTGAACACTTCAAACTCGGAGCCATGATTCCACGAATAGTCTGCTTTACTACCGTCCATGTTTCCACAGCAGGTGCATTCTTCCACAGTAAAAAAAGGCGATGATCTTACAGAAAAAGTACAATTAATCTTAATTCAGTATTTCCGGGCTTGCTTTAAGTAATTTTTGTTGCATGTGCAATTTTTGAGATATCCTTTTTAAGCAGTTTGGAAAAACATGAACTCCCATTGCACTGAAGTCCGTGTGGGTCATAAAACACTGGAGCTTCTAGCTCCGTTGCAGATATRTGGCACTTGGGCTAATGGACTGATTGATAGCTGTAGGAGTTGGTCATTCATTAGACCAGCACTAGACCAGCACCTTTTCTGATAGTCAGGAAGCTTAGTCAAGGGACTCAGATTTCCTGTGCTTCCTTCCAGCTTTTAGAGTAGATGGTGTTTTCATAGGCACAGATTTCTGCTTCCCTTCCTCAAGTGTGATTCCAGCTACATAATAATCTTCAACTTCTAACTTTTCTCCTAGTTTTGCTTTCCAAATCATTAGGTCTTGCTTGYCCATTAACAGACTTATTTTACATTTCTTATCCTAGCTTTCTTGTCTCCAAGCTTTCTAAATTTGTTCCAACTAAAACTGTTCACTTCTTTTCATTTTCATCTGCTCCTCACTGTCGTTACTTGWCTATCCAATACCACTGTATTCCTGATTCTTCCTCTGATCTCTTTCCCTTCATTACACCTTGGATMGCATCCAAGTCCTCATGTCCCTTTCATAATTCCCYCTCATGATTTCTTTCATTTTCTGACATATTTGCGTTTATATCCCAGTTCTCTTAATCTGTCCCATTTCAGCTACTCATACCAAACATCTATTTCGCCTTTCTCTTACCTGTTGTCCCCAAGTCACAGTTTTGTGTCATGATTAACTGGTTCAGGCTTTCTCCTTACCTCCCAATGTCAACTCATCTTTTCTAGTTTSTTAACTTGTACAGTCACAATCTTTTCCTGCATGGTACAGTTTTGTTGCCTATCTAGTGCTAATTACAGCTTCTGCCTCTGCTTTCTAGTCTGTGCAATGTTTGCCTGACGTCCTTATTCCAAACTTTTCCTGCCCCTCCTCTGCATCTCAGTGGGATGCATTCTGCTTCCTGTGCTGCCAGCCAGGACAGTCACTGTGAACTCCACAGATGCAGATTCCTTGCCCTTAGTTGCAAGACCAAGCGAAGAGTGGAGAAAGTCCAGTTTTCTGCTTGTAGCAATGAACTGGAAAGATGAACCTGCTTAGTGGCTTGATGGGAAACAGGCACACAGGACAGTGGAACAGTTTGCATGGGGTTCATGGAATTCTCACAAAGTGAATAATTAACTGTTTCTTCTAAACATTTATGAGTTGCAGTTTTCAGGTTTTGATTAAATAGATTGAAATCTGAACATAAGCATAGCAAATGTATGTTTTCTGTAACTGCTTTTAGAAATAATTTTGGCCATTTTGGTGTAAAGTGAGAGAAAAATGGGGCAGAGAGCAATTATCTGGGTGTTGCTGTGAAGACTGGATCTAGACTCTTTAGTGGTTCACATAGCAGTAAATGATGAAGGCTTGCATGTAACATGGCACACTGGTATTTAGGCTTGTTGAGACAAAAATAACTCACTATCCAATGTTTTGACCTCCACAGCCAACAACCAAACTCTTCATTGATGGGAAGTTTATTGAGTCCAAAACTACTGAATGGATTGATATCCACAACCCAGTAAGTGACATGGCCTCAGCTTTTATAATAGTGATCACTGTGCAACGTAGGTCTGTGCCTCTCTTCAGTGATGTGCAGAAGGGAAAAGTACGTATGTTTCTTGAGAAAGGTTTAGACTTGGAGCTTAAKATAGACTACTGCTTCTAAGTTCCCTTTTCACATGAAATGTCAGTCTCAGGAAAGTTACTATCTCCTTTACCTCCCTGTGTAGTAAGCTCCTGATCTCCAGAAAGGAAGCTTAAACACTGGTTACACTTTTTTTSCTCATAGAAGGGTTCTGTGATCAGTATGTTAGATTTCTTTCACCCTGTATAAGAAATCAGCTGGGTATGATTTGATGCCAGTTGAACGTTAAGTTCTGATAGAGACTGATATTACTCCAGAGTAAAAAGGTGAAAAATCCTGGCAGCTGAAGCTCCTTTCCTTTCAGAGAGCTTGTATCTGTAACTCACAGTAATCACAGAGAAGTTAGAAGTTGGATGCTATACAGTGCAAAATATCTTAGATTAGTAGCACTTGTAATACTAATCTAAGTGTACTTCACCAAAGACCATTCCACCAAATGGAAATGAGGACGCATTCAGAATTCTGACCCTCCTGACCCCCCTAGWAAGCATTTTTACGGCAGTTTCTAAATCTTCTCTGTAAAGCTCGATTTTCATTTGCTTTGTGGAAATGATCAGAGCAGCAAGCCATGTTCATGAAGCTCATTTGGTTTCTGTATAGCAACCAGTGTTCTTGTTTAATATATTTCCTCTTGTTTTGAATAATTTCATAGTGATATATCTGAAGTTTTTTTGTCTTGTCAAAGCAGATTTAATTTTTAAAAGAATAGTAGAAGTCAAATTGGGAAAATCAATCTTGAAGTTAAAATACTGTAGAACTAAAGTTGGTTGTTAAAATGTTACCTTGGCCTAGGGGTGTAGGTGAGCTAACATCAATGCAAATAGCAAATTATTTCCCAAAAGAATATTACCTCATTTAATGTGCAAGAAGGACAGCAGATGAATCAAGATGATGGAGAAGGGAAAGACCACAATCCACAGAAACTTTTGCCTTATACTCTCTAGAAGTTTTAAGATAGACAAGCCACTTTAACTCCGGTTTGGAAATCAGCACTTCATTTGCAGTTTTCCAGGTGCCTAATTTGAGATATTTGGAGTGAAGGTTTTTAGAACTACTCCAGTTGTAGCCCAGGCCTTTTGTGTGCATCAAGGAAGGAGTCTCCTTTGTACTTTCCCCCAGAAGTACAACACCTTGTAGAACAAGGTTATTAGGTGTGTGCTGTGAAAGGGCTGTTGAATGGCTGGCAAGGACAAATGAGAAAAATTGACTTTTGATGCAATTTGTTTTTTCTTTCAGGCCACAAATGAGGTGGTTGGCCGTGTACCAAAAGCCACAGCCAGTGAGATGGAGGCAGCTGTTGCTTCTTGCAAAAAGGCATTTTGGAACTGGTCAGAAACATCTGTTCTGAGTCGCCAGCAAATCTTTCTGCGTTATCAACAACTCATCAAAGACAATCTGGTGAGACACCAGGGCTGTATGTGATGCTGTGGCTGAATGCATTGCAGCTGACTTAGGAACTAAATTGAGAGACTTGGGGTTTACGGAGTTCTTGATGAGGAGTTGCCATGATCGAGGAGCCAGCTGAAACACTGTTGAGAGGTGCAGCAAAACATTTTCTATCAAATGGTAACAGACAGACAATGYTTTTTAGGGAATATTATTCTGAATTTCTCCCTTTACCAAGAGACTTCGGAACTTTGAGCCTTGATAGAGAATGTGCTAGTTGATGGAGATGAGTGTGTTACTATGTCTTTGGGTTTCCCAGATTGCTTTTTTGGTTTGTATGTGGTATCATACCTAAAAGCATTAGAGTACAAGCCAAACCTAGGATGATTTTTTTCTAAAATGTGTGGGTTATTGGCTTCTTGTCTACAAGGAACAAGTCAGTCAGTATGGGTTTTTCTGGATTCCGTTTAGTCTGTTCACCATGATGTTMAACTCTGCTAATTCTGTCTTATCCCTGCACTCTATTTCAATGGGTGGGCACTTTTCTAACATTCATAAACTTTGTGTTTTCCATTTTCAGAAAGAAATTTCCAAACTCATCACCTATGAGCAAGGGAAGACCCTGGCTGATGCTGAGGGAGATGTGTTCCGAGGCCTCCGTAAGCTRCTGGCTCCTCCTTTTAAAAAAGGGGGGTTTGAGAACCCATAGGAAGGAAYGAAGTCTCCTGAGCAACTGATTGCTCTGTACATGTTGCTTCCTTTATAGCCCTTGTATMGTTGACACTCG